CCAAAAATCGACATCGACAATAAGCGCACTATGCAACGTCATCTTTGTTTACTTCTCAAGTTTTATAGTCTTTTTTTACCACAGTATGATTGTGCGATTTTCGCTGCTTGTCAGGATTCACTTACGCGCTGCTGGTTTGTCATAAGTTGCTTTTTATGCGTCATCGTAAATTTTTGCGTCATTCAAGGTATAGCACCGCTGAGGAGCTGCGAAAGTAGGGGATCAGTGGTTCATCGTGCAAAGCTTCATTGCTCATCAGTGACTGAAGAAAAATGATCTTCCGGTTTGGCAGGCTGTTCCCTCGGCGAAGCGTCCGAAAGTCGCTCGCTTCGCTGTACTATTCCTACAGCAAGGAACCGTTCCAGCCGATCGCTAACAAAGTGCCAAAGATCATGACAGCCGCCGAGGCGGTGAAGACGATCAAAGCTGGTATGACGGCTCTTCTTGTCGACGCACTTTGTTAATTTGGGAATCGTTCGATACATAAAGATTATTGATCTTATATCGTCTTACATTATTATTAATAACAATTAATTTTTGTACCTGTAATTTATTCCCTTGTTTTTTGCATCAAGCAGTAGTGGAGACGTCCTCATTCTTTGGGATCGATCATTCAGAACGACGATGTCAAATCGTGTAGCAGCTGAGCCAACTTCGTTGTTTCGGTTCTGTAAGACACGCCTACTCCGTGGATGCACCAATCAGTTTTCTGGCTGCACGGGTGTCCCCGTTTTTATGGCTTATCGATGGTTGTGGCCGAGTATTACCTTAACATATGTTTGTTTACGACGCCAGGTCAAAAGAATCTGATTACGGTTAATAACAATGGACTTGCAGAATCGCAACTCAACAACTAACCCTCTAAAAGAAAACAGTTCTTCTTCGGACGTTACATACGTGAGATAATATAACTGGCGTAAAGATTATGCCTTTTCTGCTAGTCATGGTTACTCCCGCCGTTTAGCTGACCTTCATTGAATTTTCCCACCGCGTCCCTCACTCATGTCCTTCCATCTCTTACCTTGCCTCGTTTTATTCATCTCATTTGCTCATCAACTTTGCTGTTTCAAGGTCTCAGTTTCACTTGATTGTATTATTGTTTCTAATAAAAACGTTAATTTGTTTTCTGTTATTTATTGGACTCATATTGATATTGATACAATATTATCATTTTGTTTTTGTTTCTTGTAGTTAAATTCGAGTTATCTTATAATCTAGCATTGATTCTGCAGCTTGTTTCGGAAACGAAGGGGCTTTAGTAAATGGGTCAGATGCCATTTTTTACCAAAGAATTATTTTCTTTAGTCATGTTTAGAAAACTCAAACGTTAAACAGATATAGAAAAGTTTTACAAGCGGTTGACGCGTTGTATTATCAACACCGGAAACGAAATCAGAAGTGAATAATTTAAAGCAACTTTTTCGCTGAATAATAAGGTATTAACAACAAAACCCTGAGTGAAAGTTTTGCTTCAGTCAGTCAAGAAATTCATTTTTCGTAACAGATTACTGACTCCCCCCAAGCTCTCACTTCAGTCAAACGTTGAGGAATATTCATTACACAGTAGGAGTATTTGTGCCAAAATATGAAGGGACTGTCTGTGATTAATGGCCGCAACCTGGTGTTATCCCCGTCAACTATCGAAACATTCATTACGCTGAAACCGTTTCCTTCACTAATGGCATGCGATCCACTGCCGGAGTATTCAGCATGATAGCTATCAGTTGCATACAGATGTTCCTTTTCTCTGATATTAAGCCGTCTCAAGGTCGTATATTATATAAAATATTTTCTCGTAATCATTTAACCTTATCCTAATACATTAAAGGCTTCAGCTGGGTTATTTGGATTGAATTTGTTAAACAGGTGCATCTCCAGTAATGTTGTTTTTGACAGTAGTCCTTAAATTCCATTTTCAAGGTCTTCATCTTCATCTTCCGTCGCCGCTTCTCCTTTCGGGTCGCGGAGGCAGACACGTCAAACAGAGCTTCCAACGTTCCCGATCCTGTGCCAGAGTCTGAGCTTCGGCAAAAGAC